CTACTGAGTGAGGCTGAGGCCATGGAGAATTGCTTGGAACCTGGGGGCAGGAGTTGCAGTGAGTCCAGCCTAGGCAACAGAGTCAGATTCCACCTTAAAATAAAACTTGTCTCTACAGGCTGGGCGTAGTGGCTCACGCCTGTAATCCTAGCACTCTGGGGAGGCCAAGGCAGGTGGATCACCTGAGGTCAGGAGTTCAAGACCAGCCTGGCCAACATGGCAAAACCCCATCTCTTCTAAAAATACAAAAATTAGCTGGGTGTGATGGTGGGAGCCTATAACCCCAGCTACTTGGGAGACTGAGGCAGAAGAATTGCTTGAACCCAGGGGGCAGAGGTTGCAGTGAGCTAAGATCATGCCACTTCACTCCAGCCTAGGTGAAAGAGCAAAACTCCATCCCCCCAAAAAAAAAAAATTGTCTATACAGCATATAGATTGATCAAGTTCTAACAAATCCATTCTGTCAATCTTTTTTTTCCTGAGACAAGTCTTGCTCTTGCTCTGCTGTCCAGGCTGGAGTGCAGTGGCAGGATCACAGCTCACTACAGGCTTGACCTCCTGGGCTTAAGTGATCTTCCCACATCAGCCTCTTGAGAGCTGGGACCACAGATGCACACCACCATGCCTGGCTAATTTTAAATTTTTTGAGAGACACAATCTCACCATGTTGCCCATGCTGGTCTCAAACTCTGGGGCTCAAGCCATCTCCAATCTCAGCCTCCCAAAGTGCTGGGATTACAGGTGTAAGCCACTGCATCTGGCCCAATCTCTGCTTTTTAATTGGAGAATTTAACCTATTTATATTTATAGTAATTAATGAGAAACCCTTTACTTCTGCCATTTAGCTCTTTGTTTTCTGTATGTCTTATGACTTTCGTTCCTCAATTCCTCCATTACTGCTTTTTATGGATTTACTTTTGTACAACTGATTCCTTTCTTTGCTTTCCTATATAGTTTTTAGTTATTTTCTTACTGGTTACCTTTGGGATTACAAGTAACATCTTAAACATACAACAATCTAGTTTCAATAATATCAACTGAATTTAAGTAATATACACTGCTATTATACATCTTCCCTCTTTATACTGTCAGTCACAGATTATATCTTTACACATTGTTTTCATTAATGTGGATTTATAGCTTTATGAATTTTACCTTTAAATCATAAGAAAAAAGGATGAGTTACACAAACCCAAAGTGCAATAACACTGGCTTTGCTAACTACCTGTTAGTTACCTCTACCAGTGTTCTTTAGTTTTTCATATGGCTTCAAATTACTGTCTAGTGTTTATTTTAACTGGAAGGACTCCCTTTACCATGTATTGTAGGGCAGGTCTACCAATAAAACTCCCTTAACTTTTATCTGAGAATGTCTTAATTTCTCCTTCATCCTTAAAGGATGTTTTGCTTCTTCTTTCAGCACTTGATTTATTTTGAGAATACTTTTTGAGATGGAGTCTTGCTCTGTTGCCCAGGCTGGAGTGCAGTGGCGCGATCTTGGCTTACTGCAACCTCTGTCTGCTGGGTTCAAGCGATTCTCCTGGCTCAACCTCCAAATAGTCAGGCCTATGGGCATGTGCCACCATGCCTGGCTAATTTTTATATTTCTAGTAGAAACAAGGTTTCACCATGTTGGCCAGGTTGGTCTCGAACTCCTTACTTCAGATGATCTGCCAACCTTGGCCTCCCAAAGTGCTAGAATTACAGGTGTGAGCCACCACACTCAGCCTTCTTTCAGCACTTTAAATATGTCATCCTATTACCTTCTAGACTCCTTGGTTTCTGATGATAAATCAGCTGTTAATCTTGAGGATCTCTTGTGTGTGATGAATCGCTTCTTACTGCTTTCAAGATTTTCTGTCTTTTGACAATTTGACTAATAAATTTGGGTATGGATCTCTTTGAGTTTATCCTGTTTGAAGTTCCATGAGCTTCTTGGATATGGAGATTTATGTCTTTCAACAAATTTGGGAAGTTCTGGACCATTATTCAAATAATCTCTGCCTTTTCTGAACTCTCATTAAATGTATGTTGGTACATATGTACCTCTAGTTCTGTTCATTTTTCTTCATACCTTTTTCTTTCTGTTCCCTAGACAGAGTAATTTCTATTGCCTTATCTTCCCGCACACTGATTCTTTCTTCTGCTTGCTCAAATCTGCTGTTGAACCTCTGTAGTATATTTTTCTTAGTTATTATGCTTTTCAGCTGCAGAACTTCTAGTTGGTTTTTATAATCTCTATCCCTTTATTGCGAATCACCCATTTGCTCATACATTATTTTCCATGGTTTCCTTTAGCTCACCAAGGATATTTAGGACAGGTGATTTAATGTCTCTGACTAGTGATTTTAATGTCTGAGCTTCCTCAAGGATAGTTTTTGTCAAATCCTTTTCCCCTGTGAATGAGCCACATTTTCGTTTCTTTGTAATTTTTTGAGAACTGAACATTGAGTATTATAATGCAGTGACTCTGGAGATCAGATTGTCTCCCTCCTCAGGAAGTGTTTTTTTACTTATTGAAGAATGCAGTCTTCTGTGTCCATAGTAACTTCTCCAGGCTTAGAGTTGTCAGGCTTATATTTGTATTTTTGCCAGGCTTATATTTGTATTCCTTGTTGTGTACAGTCACGAAGTTTCTGTTTTGTTGTCTCTTGGTCAGCCTCTGACTTGATGGAGATTCCCTTAACTGTTAAAGAGTTCAGCAGCATCTCCCTTCACCAAGTGTTCTCGTGGTGACTATGTCCGATCAGGTTCGAGTCCCAAAACAGTCTATTCTGATAGTTTTCTTTTTAATCGTTGTTTCTGTGGAGAGACTGAACCGTGGGTTCTCCTACTCTGCCATCTTTTGTCACAAATATTACTTTATTATTTTTTGAGATGGAGTCTCACACTGTTGCCTGGGCTGGAGTGCAGTGGCGTGATCTCAGCTCACTGCAACCTCTGCCTCCCAGGTTCAAGCGATTCTCCTGCCTCAGTCTCCTGTGTAGCTGGGATTACAGATGCCTGCCACCAGACCTGGCTAATTTTTTAAATTTTTAGTAGAGATGGGGTTTCACTATGTTGGCCAGGCTGTTCTCAAACGCCTGACCTCATGATCCACCTGTCTTGGCCTCCCAAAGTGCTGGGATTGCGGGCATGAGCCACCGTGCCTGGCCAGAAATGTTACTTTTAAAGACAGCTAAATTTCAGAAATTCTTGCTATGCCCTGTGAAAGTACCTCCAACCTCTAGCCCCAGGAGTTCTGAGGGCTGTCTCAGCACATTCCCAATTGAATGATGCCGAAATGAACATCTGCTGTATGAAAGGTAAACTTTGTGTTTCCTTCAGTGTGCTGAGAAAGGTGGCTGGCTTTTCCTGTGCATAAAATCACTGGATAATCCTGCAAGAGTCCTTATTTAAACATGGATTGTGAGAGTCTCTATCTCATTTTAATTACGACAGGCAATGAAAGAACAAAACTGCAATGACCAGGCTATAGTAGAAACAGGATTTTAATATAATATTCAAGTCTAGCATTTGCTATTTACAACAAATAAATATTGCCCCTCCCCAATCAGTAAACATTTTTTTTTTCCTTTTTGCTTTTTATACAAATAGTCAATCGCCCCACCCCCACCCCAAATCCTCCTTCCTCACTAACCCCCGTCTTGCACGGTCTCGTAAAGCCCAGGACGCAGTGGTGAATGGCACTTGCAGTGGCATGAGATTCAACATCGATGGGACTCAGCTGGGACTGTCCTCATTCACCGGGTGCAGAGTCTGGTCCATGAAGAGGGGTTCTCTCTCTGCTCCCGGGGGAGGGCTGGGGTAAGTGGTGGGTGAGACTCCCTCACTCTCAGTTGGCCCTGATGATGGAATCTTTGGTGCAGCCTGAGAAAGGCTAGAGTGGTGGGAGGGGCCGGGACCCCTGCGAAGGTCACAGGCCAGTGCCCGTGGGCATGAGGAGAGAACTGCAGTGGTCAGACATGGTGGGTGAGTGGGTGCTCTAGGGTGCCCATGGCACAGGTGGCAGTGACCCCCACCTGGGAAGGTGTCAGGGAAGTGTACAGAGGTGGTGCCCGGGGGCAGGCAGGGCACCATGCCCGTTGGCACTGCTCCTTGGCAAAAGTCAGCTAGTCCTCTGGTTCCAGAGAGCAGAAGGCACCTAAGGCAGCAAGTGGTCCACGGGAGGCCAGGTCAGCCTGACCAATGGCAGGCGTCAATCCCAGCAGCAGGAGAGGTTCAGGATGAAACTGGAGTCTGGGGTACCCTGGGCTGGCAGGTGGGAAGAAGGTGCCCAGCTGGCCTGGGCCACTCTGGTCCATAAGTGCTCGGCTACCAGCCAGCCAGACCCTGGGGAGATGCCCTCAGAAGATGCCCTTGGCAATCTTGAGTCCTTTCTGCTTCATGCGAGGGAGGGTTGAGCTGGCTCCATGCTTGACCTTCACTCCCTTGGTGAAGGTCCGCTTCTTCAGGACAAAGTCATAGTTGGCGGTAGAGTTCATGGCATAGAAGACGTTGGCGTTTTCAGGGATCTTCAGCTCTGGTGGGGGAGGGGCAGAGGGGTGATCAGTGGTGCTCCTGGGGGCCCTGCAGGATACCCCTACCACTTGAGAGCCCCTATAGGGAGCGTCTTGAGCCACAGACCTGAGATCCCCCTCCAGTACAGCTCCGGGACTCCAAGGACCCCTCTCAATGACTCTGCCTGAGGACAGACTGCTGAGGTCCTCACAAAACCTGGTGACTCTTATTTAAACAGGGACTGACTCCAGAACACTCCGGCTTGGCCTGAGCTGGCGGAGGGTCACCCTGTCCTGCCCATACTGCAGTGCTGGCTGCCCAGCTGGAACAGGCATTCTAGAATCCAGATCCCCTTCTGGAATCCTGCCCCACTCAGGACAAGGGCTCCAAGGACCAGGTAAGGACAGGCTTGCCCCAGGGCTCTGGCGCCCATTCCAGGGAGGCCTCTACTCCTTCTGGAACCCTGGCACCCAGCAAGCACTTCCTCTTGGCTCCATTTCCCACCCTCTCCTCCGGCCCACAGCCCGCTGTAAACCAGAGCTGGGCTCGATTCGTGCTCCTGCCGACATGCTGTGGCTTTTCGTCATCGTCTTTAACCTCTCTAGGCCTCGGTGTTCCTTTACTGTAAGATGGGGGTCCCACCTACCTTGCCCACCTAACCAAAATGGTGCAAGAAGCTGCCAGAGGATTTAGACTATAACTTCTAGGGATCATAGGAGTCATTGCTAACTGTCTGGGCTAATGGTGGGGGGTGGTGTTCAGCTCACTGGAAAGAAAACAGTTGATCATATTTGTAGTTAACTTCTATGGTGCACATAGATGCTTTATATATACATGCACATATATATATACACGTATATATGTATAGATTTTTATATATATGATCAACCCACTGGCTACTTTCATTTCCATTTGGGGAAAAGAGAAGCACAGAGGGCTTAAGGAACTTGCCCAGCGTCTCCAGGCCCAGGACACCCCACTCTGAGCCTGCGCTGGTTCTTGACACTTTCCCAGTTTCTAGAACACTGACTTGGCCTCCTAGTAGCCTGTTCTGCTTTTAGAGTCTCACACCCATGGATTTTAACACTTGACACTTTGGTCTACAGCGGTCACCATTCTTTCTAGAGCACATGTTTTCCTGTCTTAGCCAGAAAGGGTCCCTTCCAGTGGGACACAGGTTGGGACAGTCCCAACCTGTCCCAGTGAAAATGCCTTTTCTCTTTGCCCCTCACTGATGTGAGCTTTGAACTGCCTATTCACACCTAGGGAAGGGCACACACTGGGGAGGTCCAGGGGTCACTGGGGGCAGCAAGCAGACAATGGGGGCAGCCAGGGCTGCCCTGTCCACAGTGTCCACCCACACTCTGCTGGTGAATTTTCTGGGGCCAAAGACTTCCGACCTGGGGCTGGGGAGTGGTGTGGACCTGCCCCCTCCGCCATCGCCCTCTGGTCCTCTGACTTACTCCGGTCATCGGAGAGAATCTGCAGCAGCTCATAGTCCTCCGGCTCATCCTCCTCCAGGTTGTGTTTGTCCATGGCCTTGCGGATTACGGCCGGAGCCTTATCTTGGCTGGTCACCTGCATTGCAGCGGGGGATGGACCATCAGGGAAAAGACCCTGGAGCAGCTCCCCCAGAGTGCAGTGGCTAAGGACCCTCTGGAGTCCCCTCAGCACCGGGCACAGGCACTCACAGCCTCTGGCCAGGTGCTTGGTCCAGAGAGGGCCTTGTCACCCTCTCCTGCTCCCCAAGTGAGGTCTCCGTGGAATGAGAACAGGTCTTTCCCAGCAGTTCCTACCCTGCTTCTATAAGAGCCTGTTTCTTCCTCCCGTGCTTTCCTGGGAAGCACTTGCCCCTCCAGGATAACAGCATCATTGAGCCTGGGGAACAGACAGTCCCTAGTCCAAGCCATGGAGGTGAGAAAGGAGGGGCCGGCCAGGATGCTCAGTGCGGTCAGCACAGGCCAGGCCCCTGCTCCCTTGACCCTGAGGCCCAGAGCACAGGCGGAACTCGGACACAGGGCCACAGGTGACTGCTAACCATGCTAGCCCCCGGCAGCGAGAGGCTCGGGAGGGTGTGTGAATAATGGGGCACCTGGCCCAGGGTGGGGTACAGAGAGTGGGAGTTACAAATGGCTCATCTGTTGCAGGATACCTGGAAGATGAAGAGCGAGCCTCCAGACAAAGCCATTCTGTGGGCGCCTCCCATTGGCTGTCTGCAAGTGCTATCCAGACTCTGACCCTGCTGGCCCCTTCCAGGGCTCCCAGCCTGGTTGCCACAGCGGCCTCCTAACCGACACCCCTGCGGTTCTAGTGCCAGCCCACGCCAGACAGAGAAGCCAGTCGTCTTCCTCCCTGAGAAAGTCGAGGTCCTGACAGTGCTCGCGGCCTATGTGGCCAGGCCCCAGATACTTCCCGGACCTCATCTCCCCCACAGCACTGCCTCTTCACCTCCTGGGGTCTTTGCATAGCTGCTCCTTCCCTCTCCCTCTGCCCTCAGGCCAGCCTTGTCCCTGATCACTACCTTCTTCATTTCTGTACCTGGCTGACATCTGTCCTTCCGCCCCACTAGAAGGGGGATCCCAGGAGGGCAGGGATGGTGCACTGTTCGGGTGCGTCTGCCACCAGTGGAGGGAGGGACCCAGGCCGCCTGCCCGCCCGGCTCACCAGGATGCTCTTGTACATGTTGCCGTTGTCCACGTCCAGGCTGACGCGGATGATGCAGCAGTCGCCCACCTGCTGGTTGTAGAGCGGCAGCGCGGAGCTGGAGTTGCAGAGCCCTGAGACGGAGCGCTTGTGGGTGCGTGTGGCAGCCACGGGTGTGGTGGAGGCTGAGGAGGACGAGGTGCTGCTGGAGGCCGAGCTGATGCCGGAGGTCTCCGGGGATGACTGTGAGGCTGATTCCCAGAACTGAGGGAGACGGGAGACGGCAAGATCAGCAGATCCCCCTGCCCTGTGGGGCACCCCAGGCCAACAGCCAGATGGGGAACCTTCTAGAAGCTGTGTTCAGGATCCAGGGCTTCCTGGTCCCGTGTACGGATTTGGAGTGGGGAGATGAGGAAGGATATTGGGGAGAGGGGCAGGCAGTCACCTTCTTTTCCTGGCCATCTGGGGACTCCGGGACGAAGCTGATGTTGATCTCCTCCACGTCAGAGCTGGAGGAGCCGGCCGAGTGCACGCTGAGCGCGTCAGCAATGTCCCCGCTGCTGAGGTAGGGGCCACACCTGAGCTGGTCACAGGACTTGGAGTGGGAGCTGCTGCTGGTACTGAGCTCTGTGCTGGGGGCCTGGCGGCTGGGTGAAGGGTCAGCTTAGTTAAGGGAACTCCCCAAGGACACACCCCACCCCCATAGCCCCTGCACTCTGGGCCCGAGGACTGTGCTAAGTGCTGGGCCAGTTGCCAGTACTCCATTCACCACAGCCATCTGGGAGAGCATTTAGTATCACCCCGTTTCACAGAGGAGAAAACTAAGGCCCAAAGAGGTGGGGCGAACTCATCCGGGTCTCAGGGCCAGTCAGCAGCGGGGCAGGATTCCAGCGCCTGCTGCCCTGACTCCTCGAGCCCAGGCTCAGCCCTGAAGCTTCTAAGCCCCACGGCAGCTGCCCCTGCCCCCCCGGCCAGGCCCTTACTCGCTCCAGCGCTTGACAATGGCTGTGTTCTTCTTGGTCCTGAGGGTGTTGCTGGCTGACTCGGATGGGGGCTCCAGCTCGCACGACAGGTTGTAGCTATGAGCAGAGGGCAGTGGTGTGATGACCGGGGGCCATGCTCCGGCCTTCCCCCAGCACCTGCCCAGAAGCTGGAGTCTGGGTGCCCCAGCCTTCCTCAGGCAACAGAGGCTGACGCTGACCCTAGGTCGTAGCTGCTGGCCCTCTGGAGCTGGCGCCCCAGGACAGCCTGCCCACGCTGTCCCCATTTGCTGCCCCGGCCTCACCTCTCAGTCTCGCTGAGCCGTTCCACGGCCCGGAACCAGACCCCAAACTGCTCATCTGGCGTGATGCTGTAGTTGTTGCAGGCCGACTGCAGCAGCTTGATCTGGGCGATCACCTCGAACTCCTGGGAGCGGAGGGAAGCACAGGGCGGTGACAAGGCCCGGGCAGGACAGGGGCCAGTCTCCAGGTCTTTGCTCTTGGGGTCCCCTCCTCACCTCTACTCCCATCCAGGCCTTCCTGTTCTCAAAGCTGGGCTCAAACAGCCATTCCCCAGGAGGTGGTCCTGGACTATAACCTCCTACCCCCACCCTGCAGTGGGAGGGGACCCCCTTCTCTCTGTATCCAAATGTCCCATGAATCTAAGAGGGAGAGGGTGGGAGTCGAGTAGTCCTGCCCTGGTGGGTCTGTTTTCCACCCCTCCCCCAGTCAGGGCTGCAGCTGCTTACCTTCCTCCTCTTCTCGAAGTTGATGAGTCTGCCCTGGAAGGTGGACACCCAATGGCCATCAGAAAGTGACCCCTTGACCATTACAGCCTCCCCACCTCATGCTGCACTACCAAGAGCGCCCACCAGGGGGCAGGGCACACACACCCCTGGACTGGAGCCGACCAAGAGCACCCACCACGGGGCAGGGCACACACACCCCTGGACTGGAGTCCATGCTGGGCACCAGGGCAGGGTGACATGCGGGCAGACGCTTGGGGACTTCTTGTCCAGCCCTCTCCGAGGACAATGAACTAAGGCCTCGGGCAAGAAGGCCCTGCTCAGCCACCACATGCTGTCTGATCTTGGAGGGCCTGGCTCCCCGCTGTGCTCAGGGTCACTGCCTGAGGGATAGGCTGTGTTCCACTCAGCCAAACCCTGCTTCAGCTCTGTGTTCGGGCAGCCCTGGGGTGTCACCAGCCGGGCATTGAGCTGCTTACTCATTGCTGGGACAGGCGTAGTGGCCCAGCCCCCAGGGCTCAGGGAAGGTATCTCCTCCCGGGCCCCACTCCAGCCTCGCCCGGCATACTCACATACAGATAGTCCTTCATGGCGGTGTCCAGCATCACCAGGTCTGTGAGGAACGTGCCCAGGTAGGGAACGGTGCCCTGGATGATGCCCTGTGGCATTGGGGTAGAAGGATGAGCAAGACCCCCTCCCCTGGAGGCTTTCTCAGTCCCCGAACCCAACTGGCCTCACTTGGAACAGCCTGGGGGCCTCCTGGAGCCCGCTGCCTCCCTGGACCTCAGACTCCCTCTAGCCACCTCCCTGGCTGGCATCTGGGAAATGCCGGGTTCCTGAGTCGTGTGGCCCCTGGTCCTCCCCAGCCCCACGCCCGCCTGAGCTGGCTCTGCCAGGCCTATCCTCTCGTGGCTGCAGCTGGTCCTCCCAGATACCAGCTGATCCAGGCATGGCTCTGCCAGGGTCCAGAGGAGGCCACCTCTAATGGGGCCCACAGGCACCATGGCTACAGACGAAAGGGTCCCTCCTCCCTCCTCCCAGGCCAGCCCCCTTCCCCTCTGCAGCCTCGGGCACTCACCGTCTCCTTTGGCCGTTTCTGGGCTCTCTTGGGGTTCATCTCCAGGGTGGCAAACTTGGAGGTCCCCTCCTGCCAGGATAGAGAGGACAGGGTCAGCGAGGCCCTATCCCCTCAGCCCTTAGCCCTCAGGCACCCTGACCTGGGGTGCTGCCAGTGTGCTTGGGTTCCAGGGCTGACCCTGGTATCAATACTCATTAGTGTGGGGTCCTGGGTCAGCAGCCTGGCCTTCCTGAGCCTGCCTCCCCCTCTGGAAAGTGCGGATGAGAACTGCACCTGCTGCATGGTGAGGTGGCTCATGCCTGTAATCCCAGCATTTTGGAAGGCCAAGGCAGGTGGATCACTTGAGGTCAGGAGTTCAAGACTAGCCTGGCCAACACAGTGAAATCCCATCTCTACTAAAAAATACAAATATTAGCTGGGCATGGTGGTGCACACCTGTAATCCCAGCTACTTGGGAAGCTGAGGCAAGAGAATCCCTTGAACCCAGGAGGCAGGGATTGCAGTGAGCCGAGATCGTGTCATTGCACTCCAGCCTGGGTGACATACCGAGACTCCTCTTAAAAAAGAACTGCAGGCCGAGCGCGGTGGCTCAAGCCTGTAATCCCAGCACTTTGGGAGGCCAAGAAGGGCGGATCACAAGGTCAGGAGATCGAGACCATCCTGGCTAACACGGTGAAACCCCGTCTCTACTAAAAAAAAAAAAAAAATACAAAAACAAAAAACTAGCCGGGCGAGGTGGAGGGTGCCTGTAGTCCCAGCTACTCGGGAGGCTGAGGCAGGAGAATGACGTAAACCCGGGAGGCGGAGCTTGCAGTGAGGCGAGATCCCGCCACTGCACTCCAGCCTGGGCGACAGAGCAAGACTCCGTCTCAAAAAAAAACTGCCTACCTTGCAGGGCCTCAGACTGTGAGCTACAGCCCTGTTTTGGCTGAACATTCTTTTTCTCCCTTGAACCTTCGGTGAGGTCAGTAGCCCAGGGCTGGCATTCCTCCGTTTTCCAGATGAGGAAACTGTGGCCCTGAGATGGGCAGCGACTTCCCCAGGGACTCCGAACAGGCTTTTCTGTCCTAGCCAGAGGCTCTGCCCCATCTGCCTTTACCCCTGTTTAGCCACTGATTGGGATACCATCCTCTGGGCTTCTCGTGCGTGCCAGGGCCCCCAGCAGAGCTGTGCCACGGAGGGAGAGGGACAGCTGTTCCAGAACCCCCTGCGATACTCCTCTGTAGGATACTCCTCTGTAGGGGACTCTGCGTTCGTCCACGCAGGAGGGGGGCCCTAGATGTCATTTCACTGACCGGGCACGCCGGGGCACCAGGCAGTGACACTTGACTCCCTCTGAGGCCTCGTGAATCCATTAGTCCCTGAAAGTTCTCAGTCATCTGGGGTATCTGCCATGGCTAACGGGGTACCATGAGAAGAATGCTACAGGGTTCTCTGGTCAGTGTCTCTTCTCAGGGCAGGGTGGGGAAGCCGCACAGGGCCTCCAAATCTACTTGCCAGGTACGGTCACCTGGCCCTTGGCATCCCCTGCAGCTCCTGTCCCTGGGGTAGGCGGCTGCCATCTTCTTGGGTGTGCAGAACAGACAGAGGTAGGAGCCTGGCCTCCTGGGGACAGACTGGGCCGGTGTGGGGGCAGGAGCTGCATCCCCTTCCCGACCAGCGAGGAAGCCACAGCCCTGCTGGTCCTGATGCCCATCTACTTCTGGAACCTCCACTGCCACCCTTACTGTGTCGGATTAACCGGGGCCCTGTTCCCTCTTTGTGCACACGGGAAAGGAACTTTTCCAGCAAGAAGCGAATGCCACCACCCCCTGCCCCTGTCCCAGTCTCTGCCTCTCCCTGCCGCCACTCCACCTTGATGAGCAGCTCCCGGCTCAATGAGTAGTTGTTCTCATCTGAGAAGATCTCCGACAGCTTCTGAAAGATCCGGAAACTGTCCCTGTCAGAAGGGCAAAGAAGGAAAGCGAAAGCTAGCGATGGCGGGGAGGGGTGTGAGTGCAAATCCATTTTACTTTAGAGTTGAAAGACCCCAGGCTGCCTGAATGCAGCACACAGGGTTCCGCAGAGCACCCAACGCTCTGCAGGTCTGGGGAGCGGGCCTTCATGTTGGTGCAGCAGGACCCCTGTTCCCATTTCCACTGAGCAACTATTTCCAAAGGGTGTTTTTTCTTTTTTTGGAGACAATTTCAGCCACCCAGGCTGGAGTGCAGTGGTCCGATCTCGACTCATTGTGACCTCCACCTCCTGGGTTCAAGAGATTCTCCTGGCCTCAGCTTTCCGAGTAGCTGGGATTACAGGCGTTAGCCACTGCGCCTGGCACAAAGGTTTTGATATCAATAGCATAAGGGTTCTGTGGCTACAACATGAACACCTGAAAATCTCTGATGTGGCTCAACCCAGCATCTGACAGCTTAGGAAGCCGAGCTCTGAGGCAGAGCTGCCAGCTCAGGGTTTGTGGCCTCCCATGGGCTCCCTAAGCGGGCAATGCCAGCCCTGTGGGAGGTCCCCGGTGCAGCAGGAGCTCTACAGAGGCATGCCCACCTGGAAACGTCTTCCCACGTCTTCTTCAGCCGGTGGATAGAGTTGCTCTGCAGGGCGGAGAGGATGGCATACAGCGACGAGAAGTTCTTGAGGATCCGGCACTCCTGGGCGGGAAGAGCAGGAGGCGTGAGGTGGGGCTGGGGCTTCCAGTTTGCCTGGCCTCAGTCCCCCTTGGCCTCCCCTCCTAATGAGACAGACGCTTAGGGAGTCCCCAGAGGGCACACCTGCGACCCGGGGGTGACAGGAGGATTTTAGTTCAACCTAAGGAAACGGCGTAAGGAGGACGTGAGCATCCAGGCAGTGGGCTGGGAGAGTCAAGGAAAGCGTGCCCCTGGGAAGAGTGGATGGGGCCTGTACAGGGGCTTGGACTGCAGACCACAATCTGAGAACAGATGAAGGCAAAGAGGGGGCCCAGGCCCCTCCTGTGGCGTACCCTGGCCACCTCGATCCAGTGCTCCACCACCCTGGCCCTGTCTGGGGCTTTCGTGCTTCGGTCCCCGAGGCAGGTGGTGATGACGCAGTTCGCCACGCTGTTGAACTGGGTGACAGTGGCGCGGATGGTGGGTGCCAGGTGCTCCTTGCCCTTCTTGTCCCGCTGGGACCAGATGGAGCCCAGGCAGTGGTAGGGCACCACCTTCTTGAACAGCTCCTGGGGAGGAGGGTAAGCGTTACCTGGCCGTGCCCCAGCAGTCTGGGCTGGCACTGGGGAAGCTGAGGATGTAGCTTGAGCCTCGTAGGGGGGGTCTCCGGATTTTATCCCATGTCCATGCAGGGTGCCTAGCACATAAGTGACCCAGGACAGAATGCTGGTGGGGACAACAGGAGCACTGCCTCGCATATCCTCACCAAGGCCCAGCGCCGACAGGCGGCTCGCACCTGCATGGAGCAAACGGCACTGCCCGCCCACGCCCCAGTGCCCCACCCCCTACCCCCGCCATCCCCATTGGCACGCCTCAGTCTGCTCCCCATCGAGACGTACATCTGCTGTGGGCGCTATAACTAGGGGCTTTGTCCAGTGTCTGCCATGGGCTCCAGGACACACCAAATGCCTAATCAGTGCTGAGGCTGGTGCGCCTCCTAAACAGATGGGGGGTGACCCATGGGTGCACCCTGGTGAGCACCCTCCACTCCCACAGGCCAGGCCTGCTGAGCTTCCCGTCTGTTCCATCTGGAATCTCAACAGTCACTCTGGAGGACAGGGGTGACCTCATCTCTACCGTCTGGAGGGAAACTGAGGACTTGGGGTTCAGAAACTGGCCCTGGTTACTTGGTGTGTAACAGTAGAGCTGGGATTTGACCAGAACATCAGCTCTGGACCAGGGAATGCTAGGTATGGGGTAGCAGATGCCAGAAGTCAGGCCCACCCCTGCCCTGCCAAGCTGACCCGCTCACCGCATCCATCAGTGTAAACTGCTCTGCCACCAAGTCTGGAGGGAACACCAAGAGGTGAGGCTTCTCCTCACTCAGCCCGTTCTCTGCAACCACAGGTGAAGGCCAGGAAGGCTCTAATGCTGGAACTAGCACTGGAGCTGGCTCCAGCTCTAGAGTTTGGGAGGGAGCTGGATCCTGTTCTGGAGGTGGTACTGGAGCTGGCTCTAGTTCCGGAGCTGGCGCTGGAGCCGGTTCTAGTTCCACAGCTGGCTCTGGAGCCTGCTGGAGCTTCGGAGCTGGTGCTGGAGCGACCTCTAGCTCTGAGCCTGGAGCTGGTGTTGGAGCTTGGGCTGGCACTGGGCTGGGTGTTCGAGCTGGTGTTAGAGCTAGCTCTAGCTCTGGAGTTGGTTTTAGAGCTGGCACTGGTGACAGAGCTGTAAAAGGAGAAAAGTTCGAAAACATGCCAGCCCTTCCTGTGCCTTTTCAAAGACAGAGGACAGCCCCGGCTTCCAGAGAAGCCGTTCCCCTCGAACCCACAAAACCTGCACCAGGCTGCTCTCCCACCTGTGGTCCCTGCCTGTGTGGTCTGAGGACATCTGTGCCCCTGGTCCAGCACCAGACCCTGGAGCCGCCTCCTCGTGTGGCCCAGCACTGACCCCTCCTCATTCAACCTCTGGCACCCACCCCAGTCCTCCTCACCCTCAGGCTCTGCCTCAGTGGGTTCCGAGTGCTCCAGCTGGGCCAGGAGAAGGTGGGCACGGCGCTCCAGGTCTGAGCCTGGCATGTTGAGCTGCACATAGGCCACCAGCTGCTTGAGGCAGGGAAAGTCCGGGGGTTGACAGAAATCCTCCGAGTACTGGTCCAGCCAGGTGCCCAGGATGGAGGAGATGGCACTGGGGACAGGTGGGTGGGCAGCAGAGTCAGAGGTCTGGGCTCCCCTTCCCCATGGCCCTCCCATGGCTTCGTGAGCCAGACTGGGCTTCTCCGCTAGCCCCTGTCCATCCGGAGGCCACCCGCCCCAGCCCAAGCCTCAGCCTCCTTGGCTGTCCAGGCAAAGAAGCAAGGAGGCCCCTGGTCAGTGGTGACACCTCTCCCCTCCTCCAGGGAAGCCCCGCCCACGCCTCTGCATGTCTCCAGCCCCTCTCCTCGCTGGACCATAAACTCCATGAGGGATCTGTCCTCCTGCCTGGCATCCCAGGTCCCCGGCGACTCAACTTGTAGCTCGGTGCTGGTGAGTTGCCTCGCTCTTTGAGAACTGTGTGGGTCTCATCTTCCCACTGATCCCCTTCTCCCAGAGAGTGGGGTGCAGCCTGCCCGCTAAGTACTCATTGAGGGGCGAGGCAATGTGAGAGCAGAGGCTCACCCCCACCTCCTGCCCTGGGCCCCTATATCAGGGCACACTGAGCCACGCCCAGCTGGGATGAGGCTATGGTGGGATGGGTTCCCGCCGGCGGCTGCTCTGAGCCCCAGCCACCCCAGGACTCCTCCACAGCTCCTGATCTTATTTCCTCCTGCAGGCGAAGCCCCCAGACCCCAGCCCTCCAGCAGGAACCGCAAGAGGTGTGGGAGCCACGGTTCTGCCCATCTGGCTCCAGCCCCAGCCCCATGCACTCTCCCACTGTTTGCTGGAGACAGGGTCCCTTCCTCTGGGCTGAAAGCTCACTCACTTTTTAAGTTGGTCCTGGGGTCCGCCATCCTCGTCGGAATAGGGGAGGACGCAGCCGTATCTAGAGGAGGCCGTGAGGGCATCACATCTACCGTACCTGCTTACGACGTCGTGTGTTACTGTCTGACTCTCCGACTAGAACGGAGGCCCAGGAGGGCAGGGATTTTTTTTTTTTTTTGCTTTTTTTCATCAAATTATATTAAATGCCTAGAAATGGGCCAGCACACAGTAGGTGCTTCATCTACATTTGTTCAATGAATGAGCCCCAACCAGCTCCTTCCCAGATAGCTGAGTGCCCCTCGGACCCCTCCACCAGCCCCCGGGTACAATCTGGAATGTCCTTGACAAATGGGAAAACTGCTTTGTCCAAGGCCACATACGAGTGAGGTTTGGGGCAGAGCGCTTCCCCATGGGGGACAGGAAAATCGTAAATACAAGCACCACAGTCCAGCAGCCCATTCCCTAGGGCCACGTGGTGGGGGAGCACTTTCCACCCCTCATCCCGCGCAGGCCTGATAACCCCATGAGGTCCTCTTAGCACCCAGTTTTTCTTTCGTACAAGCAAAGCGAGGCTCAGAGGTGAACCAGCATTGCCAAGACCCACAGCCGGGCGGGGGTGAGGGGCCCTGTGCATCCCATGCAGTGGAGGGTGCGTGCTCACCTTTTAAACAGCAGGTCCAGGACCTGTTGGGTGGTGGTGAAGGCTCTGTAGGTACACAGGAAGATGGTGACGTAGGAGAGGTCGCTGCCCTGGAAGGCGGGTACCAGGTGCTCCACCAGCTTCTCCAGCGTGCCAGCCTTCACGGTCCGCACCTTGCAAGTCTCATAAAGGTTCAGGGCCGACTCATTCTCATACTGGGGTGGGACAGAGGAAGGACAGTGAGTGGCAGCACATGAATCTCCTGCAGCTCATATGGAACCCTGAGCCCTCAGTGGCTTGTGGCAGGAGGCAGGACTGAATGTCTCTAGCAGAAAAAGGTTATCAGCTTTAAAAGTAGAATTTCAGGCCAGGTGTGGTGGCTCATACCAGTAATCCCAGCACTTTGGGAGGCCAAGGTGGGAGCATCGCTTGAAGCCAGGAGTTCGAGACCAGCCTGGGCAACAAAGTGAAATCCCATCTCTACAAAAAATTGTTTGCAAAACTTAAAAATTAGCCAGGGCCAGGCATGGTGGCTTACGCCTGTCGTCCCAGCATTTTGGGAGGCTGAGGTGTGCAAATCACTTGAGGCCAGGAGTTTGAGACCAGCCTGGGCAACATGGCAAAACCCCATCTCTACAAAAAATACAAAATTAGCCAGGTATGGTGGCGCACACCTGTAGTCCCAGCTACCTGGGGAGCTGAGGGGGGAGGATCGCTTGAGCCCAGGAGGTCAAGGCTGCTGTGAGCTATGATCATACCACTGCCTGGGTGACAGAGTGAGACCCTTTCTCTAAAAGACTGAAAAAAATGTAAAGTAGAATTTAAGGTACGGGAATGATTTAAATATTAACACCTTCAGGTCAGTCAGTTGTTAACTGAGTAATGGTAGCTGCCCTGTGGGAACAGCGTCACCTGAGAGTTCTAACAAAACATCCCCATTCTAGGCCTGGCGCAGTGGCTCACGCCTGTAATCCCAGCACTTTGGGAGGCTGAGACGGGCGGATCACGAGGTCAGGAGATCGAGACCATCCTGGCTAACATGGTGAAACCCCGTCTCTACTAAAAATACAAAAAATTAGCCGGGCGAGGTGGCGGGCGCCTGTAGTCCCAGCTACTCAGGAGGCTGAGGCGGGAGAATGGCGTGAACCTGGGAGGAGAAGCTTGCAGTGAACTGAGAACGCACCACTGCACTCCAGCCTGGGCGACAGAATGAGACTCTATCTCAAAAAAAAAAAAAAAAAAGTGTATCCTCATCTAGAGATGAGGAAACAGAGGCTTACCCAGGGGCTGGGAGGGACTGGTCCATTAGGACACACGGCATCTTCCCTGTGGCACTGATTTGTTTTGTTTTGAGACAGTCACCCAGGCTAGAGCGCAGTGGTGTGATCTCAGCTCACTGCAACCTCAGCCGCCTGGGCTCAAGCAATTCTCATGTTTCAGTCTCCCAAGTAGCTGCGATTATAGGCGCACACCACCATGCCTGGCTAATTTTTGTATTTTTAGTAGAGATGGGGTTTCACCATGGTGGGCCAGGCTGGTCTCGAACTCCTGACCTTAGGTGATCCTCCTGCCTCGGCCTCCCAAAATGCTGGGATTACAGGCGTGAGCCACCGTGCCTGGCTCCTGCAGCACTGTTGAAGTGGCTCCATAGCCATGAGGAGCTGAACTGTGGCAGTGGCTCCAGCCTCCCTTCTGGAATATTATGCAGCTGAGTCAGGCACCGGCTCTCAACCTGGAGGAACCCCAGGGATGTGTTCTGGGAGATGGCAATTTGCAGAGACCTAACAGCCTGAAACCCTCTTGGGTGAAGACAGCCCCACTACTCCAGACGGTGTGCACATCTGGGAGAAGGCATGGAGGATGGCGAGGCTGATAGCTGCACACCCGGAAAAGGGAGATCAAACATGAAAACTTGCTACAGAAAACCTGATCAAGCCTGGGCTGGACAGTGGGGGTCGGGAAGGGAGTGAGGGCCATTTCCTTTGGGATCAGAACTGTGGGGCCCTCAAGGAGCAAAGCCCTGGGAGGGATCCCCAGCTGCGCCTCCTAGTGGAGACCCAGAGCGTACTCACCCCGAGCCAGCGCTGGCCCTTGTTGGCTCCGTGGTGCAGCTGCACCTTGCGCAGGGAGATGGAGTAGATGACTCCGTTGATCAGCTCCTCACCGATCTCCTGCGTGGAGCTCTGTGAAGACAACGCCCAGCAGCCGGGCGTGGGGACGTCAGGGGCCTGCCTGGCCACTGTGCAGGGGATGGACCTGTGCAACCTGTTCCCCAGACAGGGCACAGACTGGTGGCTGCACAGACCTATAGCCCGGGGTGGAATGAGATCACAGCTCTACGGCCTGGGTTTAACATCGGCACAGAGGGCCACTGTCCTGGCACTCCACTTCCCCAACCTGGCTAGCCACCACCTGGGGCATGGTCATGATGGGTTCACCAGGCTTCCGATCCCCTAGTAACTGGCTCCTGTTCCTGCCCAGGACGGACCCACCCTCAAGTCATCCTCCTCCATAGTGGAGACTGTTATTCAGCCATTTCACAGATGGGTAAATGGAGGCTGAGAGAGGAACAACTGGTCCAAGGTCATGCTGCCTTGGGTAAGCGGTGAGGCGGGGATCCCAGGGCTCTGACACGGCTGACTGCATCCAGGCGGTTATGCCCCGAGAGAAAGTTCCCCCACCTCCCCAGGGCCAGAGGCCCACGGGCATCCTCACACTCACCCCTCCTCTGCCCAGCCTGGAGGGCCCTGGCTGACCCAGCAGGAGTGGGCAGCTCCTCCAGGCCCAGCTCTGGCGTGTCAGCAGCCCGGATCTGGGCAGGTGGGGGGCACCCCCGGCGGCCACATCCCAGCCACTTCCTTCCCCTCTGCTCATTCATGCTCTCGTGCCTGCTTGGGCAATGGGATTTCCCAGTTCCCTGACCGTCATCACATGAGGGGACGGGCGTGAGAGGTGACGGTGCCAGTCTCCAGGCAGACGCTGGGGTTCCACAGAACCCTAAACCACAGGCCTGGGCTGGAACAGGAAGGGGGCCTCTGGCTCCAGGCGGTAAGGAAAGGCCCTTGTCTTAGGAGACAGATTCCCCCCACCTGGCAGGCTGGCCTAGGTCACTTAGCCACAATTACCCCCTGCCTCACAGCCCCCTCTGCCACTTGCTCTGTCCAGGGATGGAATGAGCTTGCAGCAGGCAGAGGAGCCGGGGTGGGGGGTGGGGTACGGACACCAACCTCAGAGGTTAGGAAGGAGGTGGGAGGTACTGGCCTGGCCCAGGGTCATTAACCGCACAGTCAATGCCCCAACCTAGGTGGGAGTGGAGCTCAGAGAAGGCCTGGTGGACAGTGCTGACTCAGGCCCTTCCCTCAACCCCGGCAGGAGTCAGGTAGACTGTCCAGCATGCTGTGGACGGGACCCCGGCCTCCTGCCTCCTGCGCACCCTGGGAGGCCCGGCCCTGGGAGGCGAGGAGCCATCCTGGAAGTCCACTTCCTCTGACCCGAGGTCGCCCTCCCACTCTGGGCTTTGTACAACAGGAAAGCTGTCGGCACCATGCTGGGCTCCTGACCGCCACCGCCTCTGGACAGCCAGCCAGCCCCATTTCTTGGAAGTTAACAGGGAACCCACAGGCACACTCACACCCACACCCCACAGACAGCCCCGCCAGGGGAGGTCCGGCCCTTCCACTGACAGGAAAACAGAGACATACGCTCAACCCCTTTCCTGACTCACACGTCTGTCCCCTGCCTAGAAGATCGTTCCTTTGAAAAGAAAAGCATTAGCGGTGACACTGCCCAGGGCCCCCAACCACCCTGGCCTCCTCAGGGGTCCCAGACTGCCTCCTGTGAAGGCTGTTGGCTCAGCTGGGAGTTTCTCTCTCCCCTAGGGATTTTAGCCACATCTGGACCAGCTGCGAAGCAGACAGTATCCTGAGTGCCCAAGTCACCGGCAGTGGCTCTGAGGTCTCATGCAGGACAAGCCCGCCACAGGGGACTAAACATGAACCCTGGGGGAGCCCGGCACAGCACCCAGGTCCTGGCTGAGCACCACCCGTGCCTGCCGGACAGAGGTGTCCCCAGGCAGGCCAATCTCCAGGAGGGGCTGAAGCCAGGTGGCCTCAGCCATCCCTGAGCAGGTCTAGATAGTGGCTCCTCCGTGAGCTGGCGGGCCAGCAGCTGGCCCAGCCCTGCTTGGTGTCATATGATCCCTGTACCCTTCCCCCACCCCCCGGGGGCCCTCTCCTGCCAGCCGGGTGGTGGGGAGGGATGCAGGCCCAATGCTGAGAGCCACACATGCTTGCGGTGAGGGAGCTGCCACCCTGTCACACGGTCAGGGAGACGCTCTAGCCCTCGTGGAGCTAGTCTGTCTTCTCTGGTCCCTTCCCGTCATAGCAGCAGCGGGCATGGAACCGACCATAGAGCTACGTGGAGCACAGGGGCCGTTTAAACCGCCTGCTCAGATGGTGGAGGTGCAGGCTCCAGAGCAAGCTCCCCTGGGGTCTGGGAACAAAGTGGCAGAGTAGGGCCTCTACCCCTTACGCTGAGTCCCCCTCACTGGACAGAGAAAGCAAGCCAACAGCCCTGGCAGCTGCCCTGGGACCCTCTGGAGCAAGAAAGGTAGGGTTCCAGCACTCACAGGCCACCCTAGCTCACTCTGTTAGCGGACATCCCATCTGGGCAGCGCTTGGGCCCCAGGGCACTCTGGCAGGGCTGGGAGTTCAGAGGCGGAGGAGCAGAAACAGCCTAGTGGACAGCTGATGCAGAGAAAATGCTTCCCCCCAAGGGCAGGCGCCCAGGCAGCCGCTATGAGCTGACTGCTAGGAGAAAAGAACACCACATGCTTGGCTGTGTACTCAGGGGACACTCCTGTCCCACCCCCAGCAGGCGTGCTGATGTCCCTGGGCTCTGGGACCCAGTCGGCAGCTGTGCCTGTAAACACACTGCCTGGTCTTCTGACATTTGGGTCAGTGCAGTGAGGGTGGCATGGGGTCCCTGGTGAGTAGGGGCCCCCACACCCCAATGTCCCCAGGGACACAGCCCGGAGCCCTGAAGATGAGGAGGGGAAACAGGGCCTGGTGGCGTCTGGTTGAGTGTGTCACCTGATCAGCCTTCTCAGAGTGACAGGCCAGCAGGATGCCATGTCCCTGGCTGACAGAGGGAGGAAGCCACAGGCCAAACCCAGATTCCCTTTGGGTAGAATAGTGAGGGTCTTAAGGAGCCCCACGAGGCCTGCCCTAGCCCTGCCATCTCCCCGCCCAGGCCAACGGCACCTCCTCCCAGCATGAGTCCTCTGGTGACTGGCACTGGGACCTGATGGCGGTGTGGTACCGGATGACACCTGATACCACATCCTCCACGGGGCTGGCGATGGACGCTGGGCGGTAAAAACCTGAGGGAAACTTGCCTGAGGCCTGCCTAAGGCTTGGGGACCTAGCCGAGGGACACTGTAAAGAGAGGCTGAGTCACCCTGAAACCCAGTGGGTGGGAGCAGCTTTCTGACTTGAGCTTTTCGCTCCAATACAGAAGCCAAACGCGAAACGCATCAGAGAAGGCTGCTCAGTCTCTACAGAGCCCAGGTTCCCGGGACAGTGCGGGGCCCATGCTGCTGTGCACCCTCTCCGTCCTACAGAGGTGGGGACCCAGGCCCGAGGAGGGGAGCCGGTGGGGCGTGTGCTGGCTGAGGTGAGGGCCCAGGACTTCTCAAGTCATGAGCTCAGACCACGAGCCCCACCAAGGGAGGTGGAATGCAAGGACAGTGTGTCCGTGACCCTCTTGCCCTCGGGCCTGCCCTCCAGCTCTGGGTGGGTGGACCCAACCCTGATCCCCAGGGCATGGACAAGGCCCCAGGATGACAGGAGGCCAGCCCTGGGTGTTGGTGGGCCATACTCCTTCCTGATCCTGGGCACGGCAACCCACAGAAGTGGCCTCAGACCGGGACGACACGAGGTGCCTGCCCACCAGGATGCTCCCTGGCCTCGGAAAGTGGCGGCTGGGAACCAGCCTGTGCTGAGCCCCCCAAAGGCCAGCCCATCTCTCCAGAAACCCTCCCTGCAGGCCTGTGCCATGTAGACCTCCAGGTCAGCCACAAGCCTCCAGGGTCCCTGTCCACACCCAGCCCCTGACAGTCAGGCGAACACAGGGCCAGGCCCAGGAGGGGCATGGCTGGTGGTAGCTGAGGAGGAAGGTGGGCTGGTCCCAAGGGAATGCAGGACAGGGCCAGCTGAAGGTCCAGCCCCAACTTTAACCAGCCACGGTGCCCAGTACGTGCAGGCACTTCCTGGGTGCAAGGCCCTTTGGACACCCATCATGTTTAATCCTCCTAACACCCTGCCTGATGGATAAGGAAACAGCCCAGTAGGAACTCGCCCAGATCGGGAGCCAGGAAGTGGCAGCCAGAACATGGATTTGAACCCTGGCCTGTTGGGACCCACCCAGGCCTGGCGCTGCCTCTGCCACAGTCTCAAGCTTGGAGCAGAGTCCAACCCCTTGTAGCACAGATGTGGAGGAGGGGCCAGAGACAGGAGGGATTTTCTCAGGTCACACAGCAAGTTCGCAGGGGAGTGTGGCAGGGCCAGCTTTCCAGCACCTGCATCTCCGAGAGGTTTGTGGACATGCCCTGGGCAAAAGGCCTGCAAGACACCAGGCTAGGGAAGTGCCATGCTGAAGGTGCCAGGTGATGCACCCCAGGAGCCCAGGGCATTTGGAAGGCTCAGGCCACTCCCCTGGCACCTAATCAGAAAACCTCATTGTGGCAGCTGCCACCTATCCACTGTGCCAAGTGCTGTGCTGGCCACTCCTCAGACCTCCTGTTTCACTCGAGGGTGCTCACCACAACCCTAAGAAGAGGGCTGGCATCACGTCCATTTTATCGATGAGGAAACTGAGACTCAGGAGCACGTCTACAGCTGCCAGGGGACTGAGCTGGCATCCCAGCACAATTCTCTTCTCTCCAGAGCCCAGGCTCCCTGCCTCTCGGTTGAGATGGATAAAAGTCTCCAGGAATGACTACAGGGGAGGCTGCCAAAGCATGCAAGCTTCCCCACGGAGGAAGACGCCAAAACCCACCAATGCAGGTGTCCTGCCCTGCCCGCCAAGCCACCGTTGGGCTGCCATCCCCCTGCCTCCCCGGCCCGTGGGCAGGCAAGGTGTGCGGAACTGGAAGAACTGGGTCTGCTCAAAGCTCAGTTTGTCCTGCATGAGGCTGCAGGCTTCAGTGTCTGCCCCTTGACAATCAAATGGGGACCATTGCTCTGCTGGTGCTGCGTATCTGTGAACACAGCGATTCTGGGCCTGCAAGGCTGGAAGTCCAACCCTGGGACTGGGTGGCCACAGCATGGTGGTACCATGCCATGGGAGTCACCTGGGTGGCCAACCGGCAGCCCCTGGAAACCAGTCCTTGACTGCCTGGGCGCAGCTTCCTGAAACCGCTCCACTGGCTCCTTCCGAGCCTGCCTGCGGAGGGCCAGTGACGAATCTCCCCGCTCTTTTTCTCACTGGCAACGCAGACAGGGCCTGCCAATGCGCAACTTCCAGGTTAAGAATCAGACCCCAGCCCTGCCAACAAGCAGCTTCATATCTCCCAGGGCCATTCCTGAGCTTCCTGGGAAACAGGCCAGCATGCCTGAGCATCCCCCACCTGGGGAAGAAACAAAGGCCCAGGACCAGCCAGCCGGGTTGCCCTCTTCTCCTGGGGGACCCTCCCGAGGAGGAGAGCAAGAGGGGAACCTGAGGGTCCTGGGGGCTGCCCCTTCGGAGTCACCTAGGAAGCTCTCCTGGAAGACCAGTCTGCACACATGCACGCAGGGACACACACCCACACAGGGACAGACAGGCTCCTTGCCTCGGGTCTTCAGCGACAAAGTGCTCATGAGCCCTGGCGATTAAACCAAAGACCTGCACACAGTGTGATCAAGAGATCAAACAGTGGGAAGACGTGGGAGGCTGAAGGGAGATGCTCCCTGTGAATACAGAGAGGCCCTCTCCACTCCAGCCCACCTACAACTGCCCTCAGGCCTTGGGTCAGAATCCTGCCCCTGCCACTGACCAGCTTGGTCACTCTGCACAATCTAATTAGCCTCTGTTGCTTCAGTGGCTTTATCTGTCAAATGGGCTCTTACCAGTCTTGACCCCAAAAGGAGGTGATGCAAATTACTTAGTTCAGAACCTCCCCAAAACCTGCTGACTCCTATTAGCTGTCATTTTAAACCTGCGGGGTCCGGTTCCGGGCTTGCTTCCTCCGGGTAGCGCTCCCCAGCGTCCTGTGGCCCAAAGCACTTTTGCCTTCCTCTGAGCCATAAGCTTCCCTACTGCTCGGGGCATCTGGGCTGCCTGGGCCTTCTCGGATTCCTGACGGCTCCTGCACACAGTAGGTGCCACAGAGAACATAGCCCATGCTCAAATCCCGGCTGCGGCCCTTGTTGGCTGCACGGGGGTTTAGATCAGAGACTTCCCTTCTCTGATCCCCCAGCTTCCTAGAAGGTGGTGTTGGCACCTACTCTGTAGGGTTGGTCTAAGGCAGATGAAGTGAGGGGGTGGCCCACAACCTGCACTTTTTGCCAGGCCAAAGCAACCGCCTGTCCAGAGATGGGGGCACCAACCAGGTCACCTCCAGAAAGCAAGAACTGTGCAGGCCAAGCTGGGTCGGTGGTGGCTTGGCTTAGAACCGAGAAGATAAGCGGAAGCCCAAATGTGAGGACATCTGGCAGCCCAGAGGGAAGCACCGGGTGGAAGCTAGGTAGGGAAACAGGGGTGTGGGGGAAGGCAGAAAAACTGTCTGGTGGTTTCCAGAGGACAGGGACCAAGTGCGCAGCGTCAGCTCTGGCAGGCCACATAGCCACCAGGAAACCAGCCCCAGGATAGGGGGTGCTGGCAGGAGGGACAGGGACTTCCCCGCCCCCTCCCTTGGGCCCTTGGTAAATGGTCATTGTGTTCAGTTTCCGGCAGTGGCCTCCTCTCCTGCCAGGATCCTGGTTTTCCTGACCCAGCCAGAAGTTTCCCCTTTGATTTTTAAATAGCAGCCACAGGCTGGATCTCAGAGCTGAGGCTGGGCCAGGAGGGCCAGGGCCAGAGAGGGAAGGCAAGACCCCAGGCAGGGGTGGGGCTCAGCTCTGCCTCTCCCTTGGTTCCTCAGGGACGGAGAGAGCGAACCTGCACGGCCCCTGTGAGCGCTCCGCCAGACCCTCCCAGCACACAAAGGCCGAGCTGCTGCCAGAGGTAATGAAAGCCAGATGAGCGCTGGGCTGCTGTCAGCCTCCCACTCCCACCCCCACCCTCCCAGGGGTCCCTCTCCAGCCGCCAATAAGGACCAGAGCCCTGGGTAGATGAGGGTTGAGGGAACACGTCTGGTCCGGCCATCTGCCAAGCTCAGGAGGAAAGGGTCTCTCAGGCGTGGGGTGTTCCCCCACCAAGAGCTCTTCCCAACACTGGGCGGAGAAACAAGTCTCATCCAGGCCCTGTCTAGGTACCAGGACACCAAGAGGCACGAGACTCAGGCTAACAATCGCCAGCAATCACAACACGCCACAGTCTAAAGCCATGAAGGGACTGGCGATGCACCAAGGCGACACGATGCAGCGCGGGGACTCAGGAGGTTCA